AGTGCCTGCTATGTACACCACCAAGGACCTCGCCCATAGTGTGATCGTGCACTGTTGTTTACCAGGCCACATACTGTTGCTTTACTTCCCGGGGCGACAAGTCTGAGGAGTACCACGGTGCACTATATTAGGGATCTCGCCCATCTTGTGATAGTGTACAAGACCCTTAGGCCGAGTGTTTTCATCGTCACTACCGGGGCGAATGATCCACAGAAAACCGTACAGAGACTCACTAGTGGGGGCCCAACAAATACATAGCAACACCTGTGAACGATGCCCAAAGCCCAGCTGCAACGACCGAACGGCCCCCATGTTGAGCCATGTAGAAGTTTTCAGCGAGTTCAGCCTGCTGCTGTGCAACCCCAAAGAACAATGGTAGTGTAGATTTGAAGCATCGGGGTCCTACTGATCGCTTGGGGCCACCGCAAAGCAGAACACCTGCCCAAGGCGACTCGCCAGTTACGAACACCCCGAGCGCAGTGTATACTTTCCAACCTTAGCACTCGGCTTTACAACAATCGGGGTATCGTAACTCTAGCCTACCGCACGTAATGCCGTGCGTGCCGCCAACAGTGGGCGGCCCCCAAGGGCGGGGGTTCGCCTCCCAGCCTGGTGAAAGAAAGAAAGAGAGACAGAGGGACAGAGAGACTCAGAGAGACAGAGAGACAGACAGACCGATGGATGGACAGACATACAGACTCACAGACTTACAGAGACAGACAGACGGACGGACAGACAGACAGACAGACACAGGCACACAGACAGACACGGACAGACACAGACAGACACAGACAGACAGAGACAGACACAGACAGACACAGACAGACACAGACAGACACAGACAGACACAGACAGACACAGACGACACAGACAGACACTGACAGACACAGACAGACACAGACAGACGCCGGCAGACACAGACAGACACAGACAGACGCCGGCAGACACAGACAGACACAGACAGACATAGACATACACAGACAGACACAGACAGACACAGACAGACACAGATAGACAGACACAGACAGACACAGACAGACACAGACAGACACAGACACGGACAGACACAGACAGACAGAGACAAACACAGACAGACACAGACAGACAAAGACAGACACAGACAGACAAAGACACACAGACAGACACAGACAGACACAGACAGACACAGACAGACGCCGACAGACACAGACAGACATAGACAGACACAGACAGACAGACACAGACAGACACAGACAGACACAGACAGACACAGACAGACACAGACAGACACAGACAGACACAGACAGACACAGACAGACGCAGACAGACGCAGACAGACGCAGACAGACGCAGACAGAGACACAGACAGAGACACAAACAGACAGACAGGATCATACAGGCATACCTGCAGCATACACACATACATGCAACCTGACAGTTTCTACCAGAACCAACACTGTACGCGGGTAGTCCAGCCGTGTTCGCCGCAAAGCCACTTCCAAAGGTTCAGCAGCTCCTCGCCCGGGGCAACGCAGCCGGGGCCGAGCGCTTCGAAGCATCACTGCCCAGGTCCTGGTCAAAGCCGGAGGCATTTCGATTTTTCGGGTGAAAGGGTCTAAGGCCTAAGGCGAGCAAAGTTGAAGTGAAGAGTTTCGGTTTCGGGACGTTTGGAAAGGGATCTTGAAGGTTGTGTGGGGAAGCCGGTTAGAGGCGTGGGAGAGCTGCCAAGTGAGATCATGTGTTTTGGACGCGGAGCTTGCAGGAACTCACGGGATGTAAGCTTGAGTTGAAGGACATGGGAGTTTCCGTGCAGGAATTTACATGAAGTGCACTGTCGATACTGGGAGGACAATGTCATATCTCAACACAAAGCACACCCTGCATGGTTCGGCAGAAGGGTCGCAGCAGAGTCTCACTACACCCGATCCCTCAACGCTAATGCCCAAATCCGAAAACCAACAAACTCTAACCAAGGGTCTAATAGGGTTGGTGGATGTGTAGTGGAGGCACTGGGCAGACACCAAAAGCCCTCAACAAAAGCTCTAGCCCCTTGTTGAGGAGCAGTCTCCGGCCCCTGTCCTCAGGCACTGAGCTCCGGTGGCGACCGCATCGACTCTGCTAGCGCATACCATCTTGACCCTTGGCCGTCCTTGGTATTGTCTTAGGCTTGAGAGGCTTTGGTATACAGGGCTTGTTACTCGACTTGTCGAACGTTGTGGCTATCCTTGCTGCTATTCATAACTAGGACTAGGACTGTGATTTTTCGTTGTTCTCTCGTTTCCAGCACTGCTGCCGTGCTACCAGTAGGATTACTGTACAAGTGCTACGACGGTGATCAGTACATTCTATGTAGCTAAGTACAGCGAGAAGGCTTAGTTCATCCTCAAACCCAGAGAACCATGGCCTGATTCGCGAAGAGTCGCATCTTGGAGTCTGCAGGGTTTGGGGCGGTGACCTCGTAGTGTGTTTCACTAAAAACTTCGTGGCGCGGCGATCAGAGCTCTAAAACCCGAGCCCCTTGGACTCTGAACTCAGGCCTGGAGCCTGGAGCCCTCGAGTCCCAAACCCTTAGGCCCAAAAACCTAAAACCGTAAACTCCAAGCCGTGAATGTCCGGGCTTTGCGAGAGCCCGAGAGCCAGGAGCAATACATCCGGGCGAAGTACGAGCACCAGCTCTTTACAAAAGAAGGGGCGGAGGCGGGGGCCCTGGACGGCAATGCAGGTTTTCAAGCGCTTTCTCTCAAGTGCCTTAGAAGCTCGATATCTGTATGGAAGCGTTCCAAAAGGTACGGGCATCAGCTGCCGAACACAAGTGACGAATCTTAACATCCTCCAGACGAAAGATCACAGAAGCCAGAAGCTCCGTGCCCAACCTTTGAAGCATCAGCTTTTGTGTTTCCTTCAGCCCCCAAACCCCGAACTCGTCCAGCTCCCTGCCGACCCAATTGACGACGGGGCTCACGGGGCCTTTGGAAGTCTACCTATTTGGGCTTCGCCGTTTTGCTGTGAGGTTCTTTCTGTGGATTCGGTGCGCACAGTCCGAACATGTTCCTGCACAACACATCTTCCAAAAAATCACCCGCGAGGCAAAGTTAAGTAAGCTGCCTCGACACGATGCCCCGTTGCGGCCTAGATCTGGATGTTCGCAGAGTCTCAAAGAACAGTTAAGCTCAGATTTTCCTGACGGTATCTAATCATCACCAAAGTCTTCCCCGCATGCTGCATGCGAGCAAGATTGCAGTTTGGTTCTTTGCAGCATTTACGGCTGAAGACCTCAGCGTCGCTTGTTTCGCACGAGGGCCTCAGCATTCTTGAGTGACTTCGAGGGAATGACATTCGGGTGACTAGGTGGGGGACACCGCTCAGCGTCGGGGCTATACTTTGACAAAAGTTCAAGCCCGGCCATGAGAAACCACGCATAGCATCCTCTTATGATCCCTATATCTTCCGCCAAGCAACCCCCCACGACATCAAGCTATTCATGAATATCCATGAAGGCTCCCATGCTCTCGTAAGGCAAGGAAGGGATCATGTGCTGAGATCTTGGCATCAGGGACTCGCCATGCTTTGCCCGAGAGGGACCCGATGGCACCTGCTTTTGATCCTCCTCGCCTGCATCTGGCAAGGATCCGCCCAGGAGACCTGACATACGCAGGTTTGGGGTTTAGGGTTTATGGTTTGGGGTTCAGGGCGTAGGCTGCAGGTCGTCCCCTAAACCCTAAATCGGGAAACTATTGGGCTCATGGTATGCCACCCCCCTGAACTGTAGGGCCAGAGGTCACAAAAGCTCGTTGCTAAAGCTCAGGAAGAGTGCCGAACGAAGCCCCGCTGGCACCACAAAACGAACAACAAAATCTGCTGCAGACATCGGTCAGTACTTGGGAGCTGAACCCTGTGCACTCTCCATTAATCATTAGCCGCTAGTCCGAAACCCCAAGCCCCAAACTTGAGGCGACCCCGGAAAGCATCGAACGCAGTGCCACAACGGCCTTGATTTTGGCCCCTGGGATCTCTTCATGGAGGATTTTTTCAGTTCGGGGTTTCGGCTGTTGGTAGGCTTCGTGGACGACTAGGGTTTCAGAATTTGGAGCTCAGGGTTTGGAGGTGTTGGGGTTTGAGGTTTAGGGTTTCAATTTTTTGTAAAGGAGTTTGGGGTGTTCAAGTGTGTAGCTCCTGCATTGCATTTGCAACATGAGACGTGCACCTGATTAGCGGGTCTGTTCCTTAAACATGCCTTTTCATATGAGTCATAGCTTGTACATCGAGTCTCGTTGTTTTGGCTATGCGGTCTGCTGATTCTAGTTTGCGCTGCGGACGTAAGGCCGCAACTGATCTGTTTTCTGCGCGAAGCAGTCCTTTGGTTTCCCGCGGACCCGAATCCAAATCAGTTGCCTCTCCAAGATGTTGGAGCCCTGCACCCTTACTGCGAATTCCTTAGTTGAAGAGATCAAAAGCCTGCCCTAAACCCTGTTCCCTGAACAGCCTAAGCCCTCAAATTCACCCAGAAAGTACCCCGATGGAAGGCTTCAAGTCATGATAAGCCCTCAGCCCTGAGCCCTCAATGCCTTATCGTAACCCATACAGAACTTTCATGAATCACGAAGGCATTGGTTTGTATTCCATTCTTCCTCGTCTTCTGCGTCATTACTGTGCTGCTGTGCTTTGAGCCGTGTCCGAAGAAACTGGGCCTTGTTAGGGTATAGGATCTAGAGTTCAGGGGATTAGAGCATTGGGTCTACATCATAGACTTTAAGGGCTCAGCGTTTTGCAGGGGTTTTGGTGCTTTTTGCATCGCCCAAACAACACCCCAAACCCTAAACCGTTCCCCTCCGAGCCGTCAACCTGGGAGGTCCTTCGCCTGCTTCGGGATGATGCATCTAGGGGCCTGGGGGGTTTGGGGGTTTAGGGAATTACGGTTTTGGGGTTCAGGGGTAATGGTTTAGGGTTTAGGGCCTTAGGGTAATTCTAGTAACAAGATCCTTTTTTTGTCCCTACAACTTTATGCTACGGTGATTCTTCGGCTTACCACCCAAAAACTCACTGGTCTTCTCGCCTGTCCCGTGGAATTTCTGTAGGGGTGCAGCCACAACCGAGGACATGGATCCAAGAGAAGGCGGCTTACAACATGAGTTTGGGAGTAACACACCAGATAATGGTGCAGTCTAGTAATAATAGTGAGAACCCTAAACCTGAACACCCACGATAATGCACTCTTAAAAGCTGGTTGCTTCAACCTTTGTTAAGTGCCAAAACCCCTCCTTCGGCGCCCTCAAGCCGGTCGTGGGTCTAGGCCTAGGGCCTGGGGTTCGATGAGAGGGTTCGCTTTCAGGGCTCGGGTACTGTGCTCCCTTGCACCGAACCAGGTGGAACGCTGTGCTTTTGTCGGTGACCGTCGCGGGGGCTTAGGCGGCTTTTGCCGCTTCGTTTGGAGCGGCTTCCTCTTTGGTTTGTGTCCGACCATCTGGATAATGGCGGCCGGCATTGAAGCTGGGCGAAGATGGCAAACCTGTTGTTTGTTCAAGAGGGTTGGTAATCAGCTCTGGAGAATTGTAGCACTCCATGCAGATGCACTGCAGCCAGACTATACTATGGAGCATCGACTTGTTAAGCATCAGAATCATCAGACAATCCCGAAGCTTGAACTCCCATCCCCTGGGCCTAAACCCGAAAACTGAATTCCATGGTCAGGGCTTTATTGTATACGCCAGTGAAATGTGGCGGATGAACTGCACCACTCTCGCAGACTTGCAACCTTCGCCGCTGGGAGTGCAAAGGTTCCGTGAAGAACAGCGAAACTGTTCGACAGCCATGATTGAGGGGCTGTTTAGCTTGCGCCTCCGCGGTGAGGAATGCTAAAGGTGCTAGGGGTGAGGTTCTCCTGAGGACGGTGCATTTCTGCAAACCTTTGGTAGTAGGGCATCTCGTGTCGTTGGGTGCACCCAGAGAGGCAAGTTCTCCTTAATTAGTGAGTAGTGTTTAGAGTTGAGATGATTTCGATAACCATGATGACGAAACAGATGCTCGTGTCCCCTAAAGACGTCCATGTTCGCGGGGCATCAGCAGTCTCTTTCGATTCCCTGAGAACGAGAGCATAACGAAACAGGTTTTGTGCTCAGCGGCTTTGGCTAACAACCTCTTCAAAGGCTTGAAACCTTACCCATCAATGAAGCGGTACTGGCACTGGGCTCTTTGGTCAAATGGCAGTTTCCTACTTCTAGGCGATTGCTGTCACACGAGGCTCTGCGCTGAGTGGAAGCAGCCCTATGGAGAAGGGTGGAGCGCTGCAGAGTGTTGCAGCAGCCTTTAAGCCCAAAAGGACCCCCCTCGTTGGGATACAGCTTTTTCGATGTCCAGATGGTTTGAGGTTCCCAAGGAACCATAGCTGCCACAGATGTCTGCGCCGTGAAGTTGAGTGTACTTTGTGCTGCTCGGGCGACGTCTCGCGTTTATTCGTAGCATGCCAGGTGGAGCTTAGGCGTTATTTGTTAGCCTTCTCGATCAGCGATGCTGGGCGCAGCACCCCACAGCTGCACAAACGGTGCCGAATCCGATGCAGCGTGGATGTACGGTTCACCCCTGTGCCTTTGGCTAAATTCGCAGTTTGCAAGCTTGAGCCTGGTAACAGTACCTCGATCAGAGGCAGTGGCAGTCAAAAAGTTCCCCCGCATTGCAAATAGAAGTGTGTTGCCAAAGTTGCATCTGTTCGCCGGCTAGGCACTTCCCGTTGGAAGTCTGCAAAGACATCCAACCCGGAATGGGTCCCCAAGCCATGAGCAACCCCATCGGGGCATCCGGCACCTCTAAACAAAGATGTGGAGCATCTCTTTCAAAGGTATGTTTTTCAAAGAAACCGTTGTAGCGGATCCTGAAAACACATAGTACTGCCTAAATACTTACATCACAGTAGGTCATGCCATCTCATGTAGCATTGCATAGTCTGGTGTACGACAATCAGGTTGCATGCAAAGAGGTTTTTGAGCCGTGCCGTTAAATGGCAGAGGTTTCCGAGTCGCCCTTCTCACACCGATTCACGGTGCTGCTGCGCCGCCAAGGCAGAGTTTGGGGTTGTTCTTAAGCTAGTATAGCCCAGTGAAGACTTTGAGGGATAGCTTGATCCTCTTGTTGTTTCTTATCGTGCAGTAGACGGCTACTGCGAGCAGGCTTTTAGTCGAGACATGCAGAGTTTTGTCGTCTCTTCACAAGACCGAGGACAGCAAGCCCGACATGCCTAAACAGGCTTTCGGGTGTCTGTGTTCCAGGTACAGGTTTGAGGTGGTTAGATTTGATATTGCGGGCTTCAAACCGTCGGATTCTGGAGTTCCGGATTGAAGATTGTCGGCCAAGCACGAGCAATATTCTGACGTGTTTGTGTGTGTACATGTTGGCCGTACACCTACACACGCAAATGGGTACACAAGAACCACGGCCTACGTATGTGTGTGTACACAGACATGACAAGAGGCACTGTTTCTGCATTTGTGAGTGGAAATGTATATTTCATATACATCTACGAATCTACAGTATACTCTTGTTTGATTCAATGCCTACTCAGGTGGCGAGCCCTTCGGCCTTTACCCGTCGAAGTCAGCGCTCTGCCACGGCAGCCTACGGCTGCGTGCAGGCGGCCCGGGTCACATCGTGGGAGTCTCTGTCTGTGTGTCTGTCGGTGCGAATGCGATGATTAATGTGCGCATACTTGTACGTATGCGTGCATTAGCTCATGCATGCACTTTGTTGTTGCGCGCTGTGTTTCCTGCCCCGTTCGATGCGGCTTCCAACCCGTCAAGTGGGGGGATGACGCATGTTTCACACCGGGGAGTGGGAGACTGAGAGGCTCACGTAAGCCGAAATGCCCCAAGCTGCATGCTGAAGTCCCGCAGCGCACATGGCCGAGCTTTATGAATTATGTAACCCAGCCGACCGGTTCAACAGGGGTGAGGGCATCGTGTTGTAGGACCGCCAGCCCGGCGGGGGGACAGGGGGTATGAGGTACAAGTAGGTAGGTAAGTAGATAGTTGGTACAGTAGGTAGATGTGTAATTAGATAGGTATGCCTGCATGCCTGTGTATGGCTGTATGGCCCAAATCCTGTTGTGGCATTACACGGTTTGCATCATGTGCGTGTACGCACTCGCAAAGACAATATGACTGTGGGTGTGCACGCATGTATTCATGTGTGCATGCGTTTAGTACTTATACACTGTGACGTGTACCCATGTGTGGTTTGTTTCAAGCCTTCCCGGCCAGCACTCATCCTCATTCCTGCTTATGGCAACAAGAAGCAGCTTGCTGCACCGAGGTTACGGTTCTGTATGGTCCAGGGCTATGACCTGGGCTCATGTCTCTACATCCTGATGTTAAAAATTGGCGTGCCTGCAACATGTGGAGCCGTGCTTCATACTGAGTGCATGAGCTTCCAAGAGTGTTATTTCGGGTCTTCTCTTGCAACTGATCTCCCATTTGCCCCGCCAGATCCTGCATCTGGCACTGCAGCCGAGCAGTGGAACTTGGACCGAGCCTGAGCAGCCTCACAGCCTGGACTGTGCTCGAGAAAGATTGCAGATACTCATATCGTCTTTGGAAGTTTCTGGCTGCCGTGGGATCTGAAAGAGCATTGGGAGTCCGCCTGAGGCCAGTACCTCGAAGTTAACACGAGCTCCCCCAAGACTCCCGGCTCGGGAGACAACCAAGAACCAAGCGATTCACGAGCAGGCAGAATGGCTCGTGATTTCTGTGAAGCCTTTTTGCCATTCTCGTATGCTTCTGCCAAGGCACAAAACAATCCGATGCTTCGCCTCCGTGTGCCGGCAGCAGCAGCGTAGGAGGCTTTGGCCTCACCCCTAGCTAGCCTGCAGGAGTGAGTATGCACAGAAGAAGATATGTTGCCAGAACAATAAGCGTAATTCATGTTAGTCGGCGGGGCAGCAACAGCAATATTATGCACAACGAAGAAACAACAACAATCAGGATGAGAATGATGACAGTAATAGTAGAAACCAATGATCGCCGAAATGCCCCTTCATGCTCACAGCCGTGCACCACCAGAAGCTTGAATCCAGCAGCATGAAGCCCTAACTTCCAAACCCCAGAGCCTGCAAGGTTGTCCCTAAGCCGAGGAGAGGGGGACTATGTGGTGCGTGTGAACGCCTCTGCTTCGGGGTCGGAGGGCGGCCCTGGGGCACTGAAGCAGCTGCGGGAGGAGCTTCAGGCTCCCCTGTATGGGCGAAAGGGAGTGCCGGGTTTCGGAGTTGCGCCCAGACGGCAAATGATACCGCGGCAAGGAGCTGCAGGGCCCCATGTTAGAAGGGAGCAGCAAGACATTGTCTCGACTCGGGGGAATGTTTTCATCGTGACGGTCGACTTGTAGACTTCGCCTATAGCGCAACGTAGAGAAGCTTGAATTCGACCGAGCATGGCTCTTGACGTAACCCACAGAGCTCCGGGTTGCAGGTGGTGCTGGAAGTTGAGCGCCTGCGGCCTCCAGAATTTCTCAGCTACCCTGCTACAAGAAGCCTCAGATCATCGTGCAAAGGTGTTTGGTTTGCAACGTTGACACACGGGCTCCTGCACAACTCCACCCCCTGCGTCGTAATTTGGGCTTGTGCGTGCTCCTGGCCCCATCCGAGGTTATGCTTGGATGGTTCCGGCTGCCTACTTGTTCTTCAACCCAGCAAAGCTCAGCCGCACGCTTCAGCCGTTTAACGATGTTTCCTTGCTTGCACCTTGTAGCGTACTCGTACAAGTCATCATCGTCAGGAATGATTTCCATTGCTGCTGCTACGACTACTGCTGCTACTACTGCTGCTGCTGCTACTGCTGCTGCTGCTGCTACTACTACTACTACTACTACTACTAGTCCTACTAGTACTACTGGTACTACTAGTACTAGTACTAGTAATAGTACTACTACTAGTACTACTTGTACTACTAGTACTACTAGTACTACTAGTACTACTAGTACTACTAGTACTACTCGTACTACTAGTACTACTAGTACTACTAGTACTACTAGTACTACTAGTACTACTAGTACTACTACTACTACTACTACTACTACTACTACTACTACTACTACTACTACTACTACTACTACTACTACTACTACTACTACTACTACTACTACTACTACTAGCCAGCGGCGTGTTTACCGTACCCGTGAAATCGGCTACTGGGGACTGGGGGGGGGGGGATAATAACGACATGGTTGACCGTAAGCAGTAACGGGGGGGGGGGGGGGGGCTAATAACGACATGGTTGACCGTAAGCAGTAACACAGTAGCGCCGGTAGCAGTAGCAGTGGTAGGATGCTTGTAACAACGTGTCTTGCTCCACATTCTTGTGCAGCATGTACAAAAAGCCAAAAATGCTGTAAATACCAGTGTTTTGGGCATGACCGCCAAAGGCAATCACATGAACATTAACCTGACCATCTTCATCATAACCATCATCCTCGCCATCTTCAACATCATCGTTAACTGCATCACCGGCCTTATGTTGATGATGACGACGATTATGAGGATGATGATAAGGATGATGACTATGAGGATGATGATGAAGATGATCAAGTAAACGAAGCACCACGGCTCGCAGCACGGGCGCCCCGGGGCTCCCTTGTGGTTGTGTGTTGGGTTGTGTTCCGGCTTGGGCTCTGGCTGGCTCTGGGTTTGTTCGTTCAGGGTCCTGCTATGCCATGGCCGATCAAGATGATGATGTTCGGGCTCCTGACTTCCCTGCTGGGCCCCCTTTACCACCAGGGGATGCTCAGCCAGGACGCCGCCGAGATGGTGCCGGTACCAGCAGCGAAGCCGAGGCAGTCGAAGCAGCCAGCAGCTGCTCCAGTACACCACCGCTTCGCAGACGACGGCTGGAACTGGAAGATGCCTTTCTGGCACTCGAAAAACGGCAACGGCAGTCAGAGCTGGCACGCTTGGCGCCGCAACAAGTTGCGGATTTGGGCAGGCAAACATTTGTCGGTGCCTACTTGCAGCAGTGGCAACGCATTGTTGCAAGCCAGCCTCGCTGGCTGTGGGACGAGGAGGACCCCGGCTCAGACGATGGGGTGGACTTGGAGTTCTTGGAGGTGGGAGTTGGAGCCGTTCGGGCTCTCAAGCGGGCCTATGCAGGCCTGTGGCGCCAACAAGTGGAGCAGGAATCGCCCGACCTCAGCCGCAGAGTGCTGGGGGGTAGGCAAGGAGCTCTCACCAGAAGCCTGTCAAATGCATCGTGGATTGATACGGTGGAATCTGCCAGACTTGCTCTTAAATCCGCCCCCTGGCGGAGATGGGTGGCGCTGGTCCGCGCAGCCGCTAACGAACAACAGCAGTAGACTGCAATTGGCACCCTGGCGCCCCGGCGCCTTCCGAGCGCAGGCGTTCCAGTGGCCACACCTTGTAGGAGCGCTCCGGTTCTACTTGCACCACAGATTCCTCAGCCCTTCTCCCCCCGATCCCTACATGGCAGGACTGTTGCAGCCGAAACTACGGCGATGCACTGCTCGAGGCCCTTGGCTCCGCTACCACTCTAAGTCCCTAAATCCTGATTTGCCCCCTAAGTCCCACAAGGCTCCTCACTGCCCTAAGTCCCGACCTCAACCCCAAACCCGATGGACACGCACACCTAAGACCTTGGTCCCCCGCGGGAGCCCAGCAGGTCGAAACATGCGAAGCTGGTCCGGTCCCAAGTCCGGACGCCGCACCCTTATGGTTCTCTGCTTGAGCTGGCAGTCTAGGGTTGTGGTTGGTGCGAGGGTTGTCTCCGATGCTGTGGCGGAGGCGGAACTCGGCCCTGCGGGGTCGGGGAAGCTGCACAGTGTAGCGCGGAGCATGCCTCTCAGAACAGTGGAACCTCGGCCCTCCGAAAAAAGAGCATACCGACGAGCAAGGCAACGGGCCGCCATTCACGGCGGTACGCACTACAGGGGTCGCTGGCACAGTGCTAGCAGCCTGCAAGCACTCCCCTTCACACCCGTAAGCAGCCAGCCCAGGTCCACGGCTCACAGAGCGCATCGGAAGCCTGGCAGGACCCAGACAGTGCAATGCCTCAGTTGGAATGCCGGAGGGTTATCCACCGACGTTTTTCAGGAATACATGGCTTGGGTCGATAGTCAGAATAGTTATCAAATACTAGCTGCTAGCTTTACAGGAGACCCATTGGAAGCAAAGCAGCGAATTCCTTACAGGTCGTTGGGTCTGTGCACATAGTGCCCCACCGCCTGATGCCACCGACGCGGACAGGTATGCGGGGATCATGGTCCTACTGTCCCGTGCTCACTTCCAGGACCCGTCAGTGCGAGAGGTCATAGGTGGGCGGTTAATACATGTTCGTGCGCTACATAAGCCTTCGGGGGTTGCCGTTGACATTGTTGTGGTTTACCAGCATGTTTGGAGAAGTCACCTCACCACTCAGGCTAACAAAGAACTTCGTAATTTGGTCTGGGATGCTCTCGACGATACCATACAGGCCTTACCAGCTCGAAATGTTCTGCTTGTTTGTGGCGATTTCAATACTAACCTCCGGCCCTCACCACCTCACGTAGGCCCCGCTACTGGTAAACCCACCTCTGCCAGCACCCTGGATAACCGCTTTTCCCCCCTCCTCGCCAAGCACGACTTATGCGCGCTTAACAGTTGGCATGCTAGGCCGTCATTCACATACCACAGCCACACTGGAGTCTCTCAGATAGACTATGTGGTAACGCGCAGGAGTACAGCAGCGGGGCCCGGCCACCAGGCCAGACCTTTGCATAATTTTCCAGTTGCGGGTTGGCGCCAAGCTGGGCATCAGCCCATCCAGGCTCAGCTGGCTGTGATGCCAGTCCATTGGCGGACGTGTCGTCCGGCACTGCCCACCGCAGGCATAAATAAATCTGCCCTTGTTCAAGCTGTGGCCTGTGACCACGAGCATGCACAGGCTCTGCGACGCAGAGTGGCCGAGCAGCTTCAGCAGGTACCGGAGCTTGAGCCACATGCTTTGCACGACCGGCTGAATTCTATTCTGCATCAGTGTGCCCGGCAGGCTTTTCCTGCCACCGTCAAGCCTGACCTTCGAGTCAGCGCACAGGCTCCCTACCGAGCCTCAGCTAAGACCACCTGGCAGCTGTATGCAGCCTTGAGAAGGCCTCGCGTGGCCACCATTGCTGCCATGCTCCACAAGTGGAAGCTCACTGTGGCCTTCGCCCGGGCCTCGCGTGCCCTCAGGCAGCAAAGTAGAGCCTTGAAGCGAGCGGCTTTCGAGGACAAAATGCTACAGGCCGAGGAGGCCGCGGCCCGAGGAGACCAGAGCACCCTTTACGCAATCGTTCGCTCACTCACACCCCGCTCGCAGCGCCTGTACTCGCGCTTACGCGATGAGCAGGGCTCCTTTCTGAGCAAGTCTGCCGAGGTCCTGGCTTTGGTGGCCCAGGGCAAGGCTACATACGCACAGCACCCGGATCAGCCCGTTACTGCAGTCGTGACCCGCTCCTTTGCGCCTTCTGATGCCGAAGTGATTGAGCAGCTCAAAACCATCAAGGCAGCCAAGGCTGTTCCCAGCCACATGGCTCCGGCAGTCATGTGGAAACTTTGTGCTCAGGACATTGGCCCCAAGCTCGGCTCCTCATTCCGAGGTCACTTTGAGCAGGGACGCCAGGGCCTCATCCGGGATGACCTCACGGATGCTCACATGGTCATGTTACCAAAGGTGGGCAAGTCGCCGCATGTTCTAGCAAACCTACGCCCTATCGGGTTGATGGGACCACCCTCAAAGGCCATTGCTGGCATCCTTCGCAACCGCATGGTGGAATGGCTAGGCCCGCTTGTACGGTTTAGACCACAATTTGCCTATACGGCCAATCGGGGAACTTTTGATGCACTCTTGAGGGTTCATAAACATATCGGTGACGCAGTTGCTCTGATACGCCGGAATCGCATCAACCGCTTCGGCATGCATCACGGGCGGCGGCCCTTGCCTTTAGCCGGTGCTCTCAGTATCTCTCTTGATCTTAGCCGAGCCTTCGACTTAGCCGACAGACCGCAGATCTACCAGACTCTCACAAAGCACCACGTGCCTACAGAGGTCATTGAAGTTCTGCAACGGCTACACACGGGCTCCAAGTTCGTTTACACTGCGGGACCACACTCCGCTCATTTCACGCCCACCAACGGGCTCAAGCAGGGATGCAAGGTCGCCCCCTGTTTGTGGGTTTGGTACACCACGGCGCTCATGGACACATTGGCTGAAAGGCTCACTGAAGCCTGGGTCCGTGAAGTTCCCACCTTGTTTGCAGATGATAGTTGGGCCAGCTGGCTCATCTCCTCCATGACCGACTTACACAGGGCCATGAAAGAGCTGCAAATCCTTCTTTGCACCCTGGAGGATTACAAGATGAAAATTAACTTCACGAAAACCGCCATCCTCATCAAGCTGGTGGGTAAGCAGGCAGCACAGGCCATGCATCAAATCAGCTGTTACAAAAACGGACAGCTGCACCTCATCATTGTGGTGCATGGGGTCACACAGCTCATTCCTATCAAGCTTGAGCATGACTACTTAGGGTCCAAAGTGAGCTACGAAAACACTGTGGAGCGGAATCTAGCACATCGGGTGCACCTGGGACAAGGGCGATTTCAGGCCATACGCAGGGCCCTCACCGGCAGACACTCTATCACCCAATCTCATCGTATCCGCCTGTGGGCCGCATGCGTTCAGACATGTGTTGCGTACTCTCTCCCGGCGGTTGGCATCACTAGCCAGGGGCTCACTAAGTGGGAGACCAGCGCCTTGAAACAACTGCGTGCCATACTTAGACAGCCGGCCCATCTCACTCATGTCACAAACGCTGCTATTTGGCAGCAGGCGCAGCTCGAGCCCCCGGGATGGCAGTTGCTGCGGGCCTTGCAGAAGGCACAGACCAAACTTACTGCCAGGGCCAAGACAGCACCGGATATCACTACTGAGGAGGGTGTTTTGCAATATGTCTCTAGGCTGGAAAGCCAGCTGCGCACCCTGCTGGTGAATCGGGAGGCCGTCCCGACCGCGCAGCCGCCCCAGTCAGCTGAGCATGATTGCCCACATTGTGATCGCTCCTTCCACACAGACCATGCTCTGCGCATTCATGTGGGCCTGCGGCATCCGGACTCTGCTGGGCGCTCGGACCATACGCAGCCTCGTCGCACCTTTGACCCCACCCTTCATGCGGTGGGGGGCTTGCCCCATTGCAGGGCCTGCGGGCGCAAGTTTGCCAAGTGGCAGAACTTGAAACACCATGTGGAGGTAGGAGCGTGCGAAATGGTAGGGGGACGTAGCTTCATTCATAAGCCTGCTCAGGAGATCGAGTTGCGACCTGAGCCGCCACCGCCGGCATCACCGCCGGAGCCAGGCTCAGAGCCCTCTAGGCAAAATCTGCCGCTTGTGCAGCGCCCTTGGTTTCTAGCATCGTGGCATAGATGGGAACACCTGCTCACAAATGTAGCACTCCGCCGCGAGCTCAAGGCTCACTGCGTTTTGTGCCACTTTTGGTCGGCAGACTACCAGCACCTTAAGCAACATCAGCGTAGGACTCATCCTGACGACATTAACTCCCTGCAGGGGCTAGTGGCAGCTAGGTGCCGGACTTTCAAGCATCATTTCCGCAGTGGGCACGACTGTCCCTGGTGTGCCTGCCGGGTGTGGGCCCCGGGTCGACATGCACTGCAATGCCCTGTTCTTTACCAGCTAGTGCTCGCTGCCTGCTATTGTCAGGCCTGCGACGAGACTCATGGGGGGCGACCGCAGCATGGGCATCAACCCGGAGACGGACATCTTCAAGTACGTAGCCTTCGGCAACAGCTCAACAAACCCGTCGCCGCCGGAGAATGCACCGAACAAGAGGCCCCGCCCGGCCCAGGAGCAAGCCAAAACGCCACGGCGCCCGCCCCGGAAAGGCGGCAGGGCACCATTTGGGCAGCCTTCGGGTGCAGCGGCCGTGAGCTCGGACACCGTCCGCACCATGGCACGAATCATGATTCGACAGGAAGATCAGCTGGCGGAACTACGTGGCGACAAGGGCTTCTTTCTTTTCATGAGACAAGACCCGGAAGCCACCATACTACCGGGTCTCATTCAGATCTCCAAGGACTGGCACGCGAGGCGAGATGCCGGAGACGGGAACTTGAAATCGCCTCTCAAGACCCTTCTCCTTGCCTGCATGATCCGTCAACTTCGGGAGCGGATGCTCAAGATGACCAGCGAGCCCGAGGGAGTTCAGAAACTCCAGGCAGCAGGCTGGATGGATCAGGCGGAGGAGTGGACCTTCTTCCGCTGGAACCACGCGGATCAGAAGCTACAGAGAGACGAGACTCGGGGCACAATCTCCCACCAGGCCCTACTGGAGCGGGTGGACTTCCTACTGGCGAACTTGCGGGGAGAAATAGTCCAGAAGTTCCACTCCCGGCAGAAGCTCTACGAGATGGAAGAGGAAACCCCGGAGACGGCGACATTCTTCATGTCCATTTCGTTACGCGGGGCCACCGCGGATCAAGTCCACGACCACTTTGCTCAGTTGATCGGGGTCTCGGCCTTGCAATTGATTGGCACCTCCATCAAGCGCGAGATTCCTCGCCGCAATCCGCTGGTCCAGCAGCTGTCGGAGATGGTGTTCCGCTGAGTCCAACTCCAGGTGCTCGGCATGAGGGGTTACAGGACGGCGCCTCTCCTCACTCTCTCAGCTCATCTCCACCTGCTGCTCCTAAATTTTCGCTGCAGCCTGATGGCAATGCTTGTTACATCAATGCGGCGGTTTATGCTATCCGGCATGCCGCACTGTGCTCCTGCACCCTGCATCTTCTCCCCGCGCCCCTCCGGAACCTGTCAGGACAGCACTTGCGAGCTCGACGCTCGCTGGGGTTTCTGCTTTTGGGGTGGCGAGGCGGGCGCCTCCAACAGGATATAGCGGAATTCCTTGATTTTTTCGTGCCCAGGGTTGCACCGCCGGGGAGCTTCAAATGGAGCAGCAGAGCACTCTCGCCGGGGGGGGCCAGCGACAGGCTCCAAGGACCGCTCAACACTTGCCTAGGATTACCGGCGCCCGTGCGCGCCACAGCCGATTTGCAGGAGCTTGTGATGCAGTGGCACCAACAGGAGACGCTGCACGCCTTGTGCGGCAGGCCTCCATGGCTGTGTTTGCAGCTGCCCAGGTTCGTCACTCATGCCGGCAGCACCAGCAAAAGTACTCAACCGTACGTTGTGACAGGTACTTTGAAGCTTCCGGTCTTCTGTGAGCCGGGCACTGCCGATGTTGAGTGGTGTGAATATCAGATAGGCAGCTTCATACGGCATCACGGTCCCACTCTGAATGCTGGCCACTATACCACTCACATCGCTGCACACCCGGCGTATGTCCTAGATGACGATGCTGCACCCGCACTCGCAAGTGAACAAGATCTGGAATGCACTTCCGTAGCCATGTATATTCTTGTACTGCATCTGAAAGCAGTTGAGGGAAGCATGCATGTCGAGCGCCGTAGCAGTCTGCAGTCTGCTTCAGCACACGACGTAGCTCAGCATGTTGTCGTCTGCGAAAACCATGGAGGCATATCTCAGGACTCGGGAGCACTGGCTCAGCAGTCAACAGGAGCTGATGGACACGTGGGTCCGTCAGATCACCCTGGATCTCTTTTTGCTGCAGAAGCGAATGGACCATCTGGAAGCCACACTACAGCGATTGCTCATTCGGTTGCCGGTCGCAGTGGCCAATCCCGGAAGGAACAAAGTCGGCAGCGATGAGATGCCTTCCATGCTGGATACGCTCGATGACTAGTTGCTGACAGCTGCACTCCACTCAATTCTTTAAGTCCGGTGAGAAATCTTCCCGAGGCATCCCTTTTCGTATTAAGGAGAGAGCATGCTCCTACGGAGCATTCGTGCCATAAGCCGCCTTAGAGTGGCCGGAGCGGTTAAACCGTCCTGCAGGCGCTCGCTAGCCGACTGAGACATTGGCTGCGTTCGAAGAAGAAGAAGATCAAGTAAACGATGATGTTGAGCATGGCGAGGATGATGGTTATGAAGATGATGATGAAGATGGTCAGGTTGATGTTCATGTCACTGCCTTTGGCGATCATGCCCAAAACGCTGGTATTTACAGCATTTTGGGCTCTTGGTACAACATGCTGCACAAGGATGTGGAGCAAGACACGTTGTCACAACACACGCGCGTAAACCTTTTCGAGCAACGCCTCCCGCACAAAACGCAAAACAGCCTTGTCATTTGCGTACTTCCAAAATACACTGAAATAAGCACGCCACCACAGCGGCAGCTGCGTTTTTCAATATTTAGGGGTACGGTAAACGCGGTGGCGGGTACTACTACTACTACTACTACTACTACTACTACTACTACTACTACTACTACTACTACTACTACTACTACTACTACTACTACTACTACTTTACTACTCTTCGTAACCTATAGTTGCTGTTTTCATTTGTTGTGACAGAGCAGCACGAAGACCACGGAAGACCAATGCTCAGAAGAGAGTACCAGCAATGGCTTCAGCTCTGCAACTTCGAGTGCCTGCGCTGCTGCATAAGGCTCCGTTCCTGGATTGCTGGAAAAGCATATCGGCCGTGAAATGGAACTTTTCTTGCAGATCTGCCGCTCCCTCAATCACCAGCGCAGAGAGATGTTTGATCTTTGCAGTGGCTTTTGCCTGCCCGGTAGATGCTTGCGCCACATTTGTTCATGCGAAGCCTGCGAAGGTTCCAAGTATGCTTCGCAGTCAGAAGACTGGGAGGCAGGTACAGAAGGGGCTTCACGCCACAGTTCGAAGACTAGTGCTGTGATGCACATGCCTTGCAGATGTGTTATTCACAGCCAGGGCCAACAAAGAGCTGAGAGCGTCATTATTTTGACTTGAACTGTTCTCTAAAGCAGTTCACGTTAAGCAGCTTTAGGCGAGGCATCGTCTTGTATAGAGGACCCTGATTCATACACTCCTACAACAGAGCCTGTCAGGATGTGCTGCAGATTTTGGCGACGGCGCCTGGCACCGCAGCTCATGTCAGCTGCAAGAGAGGTCTATTCGTGTCCGGTGCCTTCATTCTTTGGACTGGGTCTCTTCTTTTTCTACTTCCTGAGCCCGGTTCACAAGTTGGGCTTCGGGCTCGGCGCTTCCGAATAGGTTTTCTGAGACAGATCGCTCGCCTGGCATACGCTCAGGCCACAATGCCGTATTAGTCATGTCAGATCCTTCACAGTGCGCCTGCTCAGGTAGCAGCCGAAATGCTGCATTGATTGCCAAGGCTGCCTTGCGCTGACTTCATGTTCCGGGAAGCAAAGGAACTGCAGGGTTCTTGTGGTTTAAGATGCAATCAGGGTGTGCTGTGTCTCCTCGTGTGCCACGGCTACCGCCAGCCGTTGCCGCGGCGGCTGCGGGTGCTACGACTATTACTTCTACTTCTACGACGACGACGACTACTACTACTGAGGCTGTTTTTGTGATTGTGACCGCGACTACTAATGCGACTGGTACTAGCGCTGACATGGTGCACAATGAGAACAACAAGAACCATGTTCTTGTCAAAACACCGGCAAGAGCAGTACGAAGGATCGGCAGTTGCCATCGTAGCAGTGTTGAAGCAGCAGTAGTCAAGGCAGCATCAACCTTGATACTTTCAAATTGGACATGCACACAACATTTGTATGGACATGTCCATAACCATGCCCGCGTGTATGTGTATGTGAATGTGTACGTGTATATCTATGTGTTCACATACGTGTATCTACATATATAAGGTAGCTGTACGGTAAGGCAGAGCAATGGTCAGCACCGACAAGCACCGCATAGAGCGATCACACATGCACGAGAAGACAAAGCAGTACAGACACTGGCCATCGTAGTATACACAAACAGTACTATATAAACCACAATTACACGAGGGTTTAGGGTTTACGGGCCCCTAATATAGTACCCTAAATAGTAGGATTAGCAACTGCAAGTACGAAAGTAGCTTTAGGCCGGACCATCGTCGGCAGGCCGAGGCCAAGCTTCCGCACTGCGAGCATGGTGAGGACTCAATGGGGATCTATAAGGGTACCTTTTGGCGATCTCAGGGTTTAAGGTTTAAGTTACCCTCTAATGATCTAATGGGTATCTGCCCTGTTGCTTCTGGGTGTTTTGCACAGTAATGTTTGTGGTGGTTTTACTTGCCGTCGAAGTTCTTGCTGCTTCCATACCATCGTCGAACGGAGAATCATTAAGAGAAGAACGGGCAGAGTAATGGATAATAGAGCTAAGAATAGTGCAAATACTTAGCCGGAGAGGTAGCGTACGCAAACCAGTGAACAGGCCACTATACCGACACAGTAGCGACAAGGGGATTTGCCGAAGTGGGGGTTTCCGAAAATAGGGGACCCTAATAGAGTACCCTTTATACTAGGATCCTTATTCTAAGGACCTCAAAACAAGGTACCCCTAATTTTCGGAAACTCCCAAGTTGCTATCACCCCCCCCCCCGCCCAGACGAGACCTTACCAGCGAGCAGAAGCCAGGAGCCAGAGCTGCTACGGGCCCTCTGCCGCCACCTCAAAGAGGCCGGATGTGAGGCTCATGGGGGTGGTTGTCAATCCAGGGTCTCTTTTTGGGTCCTTATTATATTACGGCACCTAATATTCAGGGTGCCCAAAAAGGGACCATAATTTTGACAACCACCCATGTAAATCCCCAATCTGTGGAGTCCCAAACTCGTAGGCTTAGAGGCGTAGCCTCCACTGTTCCTGAGCCGCTTCTTCATGCCCCTGGCAAGCTAGTACCTAGGGGCCAAGCTGTGCGGTCGAGAGCAGCGTCGCCGGCGGACTCTTGTCGAAAACCCAAGGGATTAGAGATTATCATTCTGATCATCCGACTTCCCGACGCGCTTCTTTTGGCTTTTTCGGGGGCTTTGGGTTGCTTAAAGAACCGGTAGATGCAGGTAAGCAAGAGACCCCGTCCTACACTCTAGTCCGTGTTTAACCTCAAGCGCCTCTTTCTTCAAGTTCAAACCGAGTACTTGGTGCCCAGTGCACTTAACTCAGGAGCGGACCAGACCGCAGAAGCCAAGCAACAGCTCGCGACCCGACGGCAATTGAAAGTTGTTCTGAGTCAGAAAGGTCGCACAGCCTCAGGTGGCGAGGCGTTACACTGGTGGAGGGTTCAGGCGTTAAAGCATCAAAGGCTTGCCCCCGCTTTACGACAGTGACCTTGTGCTGAGTTTCGTTTGGGGATGTTAGTGCTTCGGCTCATAGTTCAGGACTTTTGAAATTGGATCTTGTGGTTCCGGGTATTGGCTGTGATATACTCTGGCAGACTCGGGAGAGCAAAGTGTTCGATTGTCATGAAAAAGTCATGTTTGTGACAGAAGTTTTCCTGTTGCGGTGCATGCCTATTTTCAAAAAAGGCATTGAGGAATCATCTTCAAAGGCAGCTTTGCAGGTTTGTAGCATGTAAAGTAGACGGAAGCCGAGACCCTCGAACAGCTTAACCCCTGAATCCTTGGAAGTGTTTCGGCGACCCCGACAAAGCCTTTTGACTTCTTGTTATCCAGGTTCTGCAGCCGGACTGCAGCTACATGCCTGGCCTAAGCCACAGCTCGACGAGCTACCCCACGGAGCAGATATTGAATCTGCCGCAAGCACTGCAGGATTCACACTGACCGCTGTTGGAGGATCGGACGAGTTTGGCTGGAAGCCAAGAACATGAGCGAGGACAACACGACAGCATCTTCTCGCCGTACGGTCCCATGTGCATTGCAGGGCAACAGTCATGTGGTTCTGCGATATGGATCGCAGAAATCAGTGCCTCCGTCGCCGGATGGCTTCCGTCAGACGGTCGCTGTGATACGTTAGGTTTTCACGAGCACGACGATGTCGGCCGGTTGGAGTCCTCACAGCGAGCGAGCGGTTGCGACTTACATGATCGGGCCCTGAGTAATTGCGGGACAGCTCAGTGCGGCATCCGAGCACCGGTCCCAAGTAGCGCGAAGGCGAAGCCATGCTCTGCTTCCCAGTGCCGGGTGCGGAGACCACGTGCATGCTCGTGGCGGGTGCCCCGAGGAGTGCGACTTGAAAGCAGGCCGACGCTCCCCAACCAAGCTCGTTGACAGGATCCGATGCCCATGCGCGGCGAGGTGCCGCCAGAGCGCTCCCAAGCCAGTCAGAGGCCAAAGACAGATGCTGTCGGGCAGAAGCTGCTCAACATCAGTCGCAGTCGAGTTTCGTTACAAATCCCACTACTCCGTGTGTCATGAGCACACTCGATGCGCCGGCCTTCACCGATTGTGGGGAGAAGCTGGCGGTGGACCAAAGGTGGAGTGTGGGAAGCCTTGCTGCACTTAAGAAGAAAGTCAGAGTTTCCATGTTCACACTCCGACATGCCTGGGGTGTTTTTCGTTCGCGGCTCATTCGACCGCACGTTTGTTCCGGAATACTCGATTTCCAAGATGGTTGCATGTTTAGGCAGCTGTGGTTCGAACTCCTTCACGCACAGAGCCGAACGCTTAGGTGATGGACGAATTGACTTCGCATTGCTCGAACTTGGTGGAGCCTGCAAGAGGCAGGGCTGACACATGCGCGAGGTTTGCTACAGAGCTAAGTCCAGGAAAAAATGTCTGGCTTGCAGGGTAGGGCAGATTGCTAAGTTCTCACGTGCCTTTGCCGATAGTCCTGCCGAGCACTTGATGGTGAAGCGCCCTTCTTGGGCATGTTTTGACGTATATGTCTCAGCATTTTATGATGGCTAGGGTTTGGCTGCGATGTTGCCAAAACCATGGAGGTGTGTCCGGGAGAGCATGACCATTGTGCTCGGCCAGTCGGCGGCCTTCGACCAAAGACGAAAAAGTGCGACCTCTGATGTACCCATCCTGTAGTGGTTTGATTACGCTACGCTGAGGGCTTGCTTATGCCCTCTGATCTGACAGAAGTTGCACAGCCTTCACCCACATTCCACTGCTCTCCCGATTCCGGTGCACAGAAGGCGACCGGCCAACGTCGGCACTTCCGTGAAAACGAGCATAGACTTCCGCAGGACGCGTGGTTGGCAGGCGACTGTGGCGCTCCACTGTGCGGGCCTCGACCAGGGCATTGTTGTCGGGCTTGGAGGTTGGATGTCAGAGTTTAATGAGACCCAATGGGGCTCTCAATATGAAAGTTACTGTTTCCAACAATGTCGACTTCTTGCAGAGATCGCTGCTGAACTGATGGCTGGGCCCGCATACCTTGAGCTCGAAACTTCCTCATCCGCGAAGTTAGGCGGCCTTGGGGAGTCCTCGGTGTTGATTCGTTGATTTGAGCAGATACAGAGTATGCCAGAAGTTCCCAGGGGTCAGAAGCCAAGAAGTGCGACTCAGCATGAGACAGTCGCTCATCGTTCTCTCTGCCTCCTGACCACTCGTGGCTCCAAGATCCGAGACAGAGCGCCACAGAAGCTGCCTTGCTTCGAGGTCCCGGCCGGCCCATCCTCTACTTGCTCAACCTCCTTTATGCTCCTTCCGAAGCATTGGATAATCTAGGAATTGGAGGTTCTGATTTAAGGCCTTTGCGATTGCGACATAAGCTTCTAGACAAAACCCTCGCACCTGTGCCATGAAGCTCCTGGATTCCAGGGAGCCGTCGGGATGGGGAGATGTTTGCAGGGCTGTGTGTCTACGTGAGCGCGTGCATACCTGATCTACTTTGCCGCTCTGTCTTTTTCAAACTAACTATCTATCTACTAGCAATCTAGGACATGCATGTTGACTGAGCCAAAGTTTGTTCATCGGTATGCACCCGCACACTTATCTGCATACAGCGCACTCACACTATGGGGCTTCGGTTGATTGTCTTCCTTGCATGCATATAGAGACATATAGGTGTATGTTCAAGTACACACATGCACATGTAGCTGCATGCATTGGGCGATCTGGCACGAGGGTAGGTGTTTTCGCTGTTGGTCATGGTAAGCGTGGTGCGTAGGCCAGGAGAGCCCTGAGTATCTGTGGCAGCAGTATGACTATAAGTGCATTTATACACCGCAGTGCTATCTTACTGCTTCCATTCCAAAGCTGCTGCCGAATCTTTGCTTGCGCACATGTTTCTCCACATCGTCGTTTGCAACACATTGTTTGACAGATGCTTTAGGCCACTTCTGCTGTTGTGGCGCTCGTAAATGACAGCATCCTGTGCCATTCGAATTTTGTGTTGCTGCCAGATGCTCGGCTCCAGAAGTACGCATACCCCTTCAATTGACATCAAGCGAGCCTTTAGTTTTTGAAAGGGGTCATGTCTCCCAGAATTGTCGTTCTGAGGCTGCCGAGGGAACGCTCTGACCTTACCTTTTGCCTGCGCGCGGAGTGCGGCATAGACTCGAAGCCTACCAAAATAATTCAACGACTCCGCAGAGTCTTTTTGCTTGAGGCCCTTGCACTCCTTGGCGCGGACCCTCACACGCTTTGAGGCGTACGACTTGGCATGGCATGGCTTTGTGATGGCTGCTGTACTTCAATCCAGTCGATCGAAAAAGCAGCCAACAACCCATTGCAGTCGCATCTGTGCATCAGGACCTTTCCCACATACTGGCGTGGACTTGTCGGTACCCCAGTGTCCACACGCCTGTCAGGACCGGAACCGCAACGTCATGTCACGTTCCCTAAAACTGTAGTCAGACGTGTCCGTGAAGTTGTCCCGACTGGAACCTAAGTACCTTGTTAGGTATACGACATATTTGCGTGCACCACCAGTAACTGTCTTGACGAGCCCGCCCACCTCAGAGAGAGGCAGAGGATGGGCTTTGCTGCATTTGCCGATGGCGGTGCGCGCTTGCATTTGACCTCCTGCTATCGGCTCGGAAAGGGCTCTTGGCCCCACCCCTTCCCCTCCGGCGGCGGCGGTGGGGTTTCCTGAGGGCTCGATTCCGCCGCGGCCCCAGAAGAGGATTTCGTTGGTAATCTCAGCTTCATGGATCGAGGGCAATAACAATGAAGCCCTAATCCCTGGACCGTGAATCCGACCCGTGCCAGAGGTAGTCAAGTAGTCGTCGTAGCAACAGCGGTAGCAGGGT